GCTTGATAACTTATTTCAAATCTATGTGTCGCAGAGCAGATGCCTTGGATTCGTAGCCGTTCTTTGTAGTGGAGTAACTGGAACCTCCGAGGTAAGTAAAGCTATCATTTTTGATGCTCAACACTAAGACCCTTATTTCATTCCATGAAAATTGTGCACACTTTTTGCCATAAGTCGGAGCCTGGGAATGAAGAGCATTGAGAAACTGGAACGGTAAATCCGCCTGCGTATGCGAAAAATTTTTTCATTTCTTGACGCTGTTCCTTTTCTTACAACGCTTCGCACTTGTATTGTCGTGCTGTCGCCGAACGAATTTCACCTTGCCTAACTCCTTGCTTGTGTTATGGAATATATCAAGCCTTTTTCTGATGGCACAAGCAAGCTAGACAACGGGCGAATTGTTCCGTCTAATTTATCTGCAGTCGGCTCATTAAGCCACTCAAAATATCTGAATTAACTGAGTGCGACAAAGCATCGGATGAGAAGATAAGGAGACTTAAGAACAAGTATCTGTAAGAATCAAACATCTTGGGAAATAAAAATTTTCAACCCCCCTTCAAATTTTGCATGCAGTTAAGCGCTCAAGGGGTGCACAAAAAATTCCCTTGTTAAAGGTCGCAGCACTCTTGTTGCCATGGTAACAACGGCTGCTTGTTTGAGGCCTGGGGCCTCATTTTCATACAAAAACGTCGCAAAAAAAGATTGAAATGTTTATTTCTCTGTCTCAAGCTAAATACAAGGTTACAAATTGGCACTTCTACCATACACATCTCGGTACAGTTTCGGTCATTTTTGTTGTCGGGTAAAACAGGGAAAACGTTTATCTGAATTTCTCCAAAAGTACACCGATTCTGGAACTGAAACTACCCACCTAGCTGGTTATAATATTCTGGTTTTTAAATATGTAAAAATCTCTGCGGGCCTGCCTCTACTTTTTTTAGGGGCAGTTCGCGAAAAAAACTCAAAATCATAAAATCATTTTGCATAATTTGGCGATGTTTACATCTAATGTTCTCAACAACAAACGTTTCAGACAAATGAAACGTGCGAGGCTTTGAAAGAATGTTATCTTATGAGCAATATCCCGAGGAGAAATCTCGCCTCTGGTTGTCATCTTTTAAAAAAATTGATTAACCTTCATGGAGGACAACGCAGCGTAACTACAAACATATACCTCAAATCGTGTGCATATCATCCAGATTCCGAGTGCTGCACCTTCTTTCATAGGAATTTGAGCAATCCGAAATCCTCTGAAGATACACTGTTATACTTGCATGTCACTGGAAACATGTTGAAGTCGGCTGATCTACACGAAACTATCCTCACACAGGTCATTTGTCATAAACATGTACGTTATCACGATGGCGTGTCGCTGTATTTCTCTATGAAGTTTCCATCGGTCGCTCCAAAGAAGACGAGAAATGGAAATTTTTCATATATGTCAGCAGAGTTCTGCTTTCTGAAGTAAAAACAACCAAAAAAAAAAAAAGAGTTCCTGTGTAATTTTGTAAGCACTTTCTATAGCATTCTATTGTCAAGGGAAATAAATCTCAAGGCTCAGAGCCAATATAACGTTTTGAGCACGCTAAAGACTCCCTGAAAAAAGCTAAATTTTCGGAAATTGATTGTGATGAAATCCCTGTTCTGCTTCCTGTACTGCCGGGATACTGAGTAGTTCAAAATCTCCACTTTGTGATGATTCTCGCGCGAGTCGTATAAATTGCTATCGTGGCGACTGGGTTTTACATGTAGTACTGCCGCTGACAAGTTGCGATTTCTGCTCTCAGATTCTCAGTGTTTACGAGCGTTCAATCGAAGTTTTCCTTTTTTTTTTTTGGTTGTTTTTACTTCAGAAAGCGGAATTCTGCTGACATATATGAAAAATATCCATTTCTCGTCTTCTTTGGAGCGACCGATGGAAACTTCATAGAGAAATACAGCGACACGCCATCGTGATAACGTACATGTTTATGACAAATGACCGGTATGAGGATAGTTTCGTGTAGATCAGCCGACTTCAACATGTTTCCAGTGACATGCAAGTATAACAGTGTATCTTCAGAGGATTTCGGATTGCTCAAATTCCTATGAAAGAAGGTGCAGCACTCGGAATCTGGATGATATGCACACGATTTGAGGTATATGTTTGTAGTTACGTCGAGTTGTCCTCCATGAAGGTTAATCAATTTTTTTAAAAGATGACAACCAGAGGCGAGATTTCTCCTCGGGATATTGCTCATAAGATAACATTCTTTCAAAGCCTCGCACGTTTCATTTGTCTGAAACGTTTGTTGTTGAGAACATTAGATGTAAACATCGCCAAATTATGCAAAATGATTTTATGATTTTGAGTTTTTTTCGCGAACTGCCCCTTAAAAAAAGTAGAGGCAGGCCCGCAGAGATTTTTACATATTTAAAAACCAGAATATTATAACCAGCTAGGTGGGTAGTTTCAGTTCCAGAATCGGTGTACTTTTGGAGAAATTCAGATAAACGTTTTCCCTGTTTTACCCGACAACAAAAATGACCGAAACTGTACCGAGATGAATAATCCATTGATGTGTTTCCATTCACTCCCAGGGAAAATTAAATGTGTCAAAGTGAAGACGAATGATGTTATAATGTACGGTAGAAGTGCCAATTTATAATGTTATATTTAGCTTGAGATAGAGAAATAAACATTTCACTCTTTTTTTTGCGACGTTTTTGTATGAAAATGAGGCCCCAGGCCTCGAACAAGCAGCCGTTGTTACCATGGCAACAAGGATGCTGCAACCTTTTAAAAAGGGCATTTTTGTGTATCCCCCTAAGTGCCTAACTGCATGCAAAATTTGAAGGGGGGGTTGAAAATTTTCATTTTCCAAGATGTTTGATTTTTACAGAGACTTGTTCTTAAATTAAACATTTACAGTGTCGTAGTTTTCATTCTATGTTTGTTTTCCTCCATGCCGAACTATCCTTTCGGTTCCTTCTTGGGTTCATTTCAATCTGTCTGTGATGGAATCAAATGTGTTGAACTATCCGAGTGTGTTGTCCTTTTTTTTCCGTTAAGAAAGCGTAGGTAGTCGAATGTGATGGTCAAATCAATCTGATTAACTCAATTGAGACCCTCTTGTAGCGAAAAATTTTTTTTTGCTCAGGGTTAAAGATGGTTGACGCATTCAAAGTTTTCTGTCCAATTACTCAATTGTTATGCATTTAAGAAAATCATTATTTGCAGTCTTTGGAGAATTTTGTTGAAGAGCAATTAAATCGTGGCAGAATCTGTTCCGTTACACTCTAAGCAAATAAGCAATATTCAATACAATTATTCCATGCATTAATGTTTTACACTTGTCTCTCTTGATTTGTTCCCCTTCTTTTTTTTCTTTTGATGTTTTCATTATTATGTTCAATATTGTTATTACAATAGTAATTGTTACGATTTGTGATAGAATTGTTTAATCCATTTCTGTCACCGTCATGTATCCTTTTAGACACAGGATTTTGGTTTTTGACAGGATCAACTACATCCATTTTAACCTTCTCATTGAAATTGATGACACCGTTGGTAACCGTGTATATCTTATCCCAAACACTCGCTGAGACATCATTGTGATACCCTAAAACACCATAAACAACAACCAATACTTGTAAATCTTGTGAATAAGTGATGCCAGATTTATTTTTCAAAACCATATCAATGAAGAGATAATTGGGAGTCACGCTATTGTATTTATGAAAAGGAATTCTACTTCGGTTGTGATCACTAAACGTATTGGTTCATGTTCTTGGAACTGTCTCAATACTACTGGTAGTAGATACTTGGACGGTTTAAATGTCAGTTGATGACAGTTTAAGTTGATAACAAACAGAATATATGGTTTAAGGGAAAACAGATGGCTGAGATATTTGGTTATGTAGACACAGATCAAGCCATAAGAAACGTGTACATGATGAGGACAAAAAAGATGCCGTCAAAACGACGGGTCCTTATGAAGGCACTGAAAATAAAGGACAAACTTGGCATACAATATATATCGATGAAGAGGGCTTCACTTTTTATTGTTGGCATCTAAATTAGAACCAGCTAAGAATTCCAAACATTGGGTAACAAGTTAAGTACTTCCATCAAGTAGAAAATATGGACCGAGTACAAGTTGTTTGATAATCTAAATAATAATATGATTAAAATTGAAACAGAGACTGGTCTCCACTACAAGGTGGTTGATTTTATAAGAAAGCTTTATCCTAATACCAGGATCATTGCTCAATGTGGTGAAAAACAAAATACTACTTTTAAAAGAATAGATTCCTAAAAAAACGGTTACATAGCTGGACAACCAGATATTATTATCACTGACAATCACCTGAAATATAAAGGCTTTTGTATAGAGTTAAATCTCCCAATAATAGTTACAAGATTCCCAACAATTAAAAAGACCCAATTAAAAATTATCGTTAGAAGGTTACAAATTTAATGTATGATATCCAATGATTACAATGACACCATAATTATGTGAAATAAATGATTTTATGAAATATGTTAGAATAAAACGTGATCGTTGTGATAACCAATTTAAAACATATCAAACATTGACGAACTATTTAGAGTATTTCCATAGAATACATAAAGAGTATAATGTTATCTAACTATGTAGTAATATGATGCAGCGTAAGAGAAAAGGTGGTGGACAAATAAGTCCAATATAATTATAAAATATATAATATATAAATAATAAAAGCCTGCTTTTCAAAATTTTGAAAGGAATCATTACCTTCATACCTTCGAGGCCGTTTTCTTAGAACACAAAGCACTTTGATTGCATTCTGCTGAATTTAAAATGGCGACTGTTTTTTATATAGTGTCGTGCAGCCCTCAAAAAATGGGAAGATACGTCAATCCTCCACTACGCCTCGGTTTTGCGCGACGGTCCAATCCATTTATCATTGGAGGAGGCCATGTTTACACGGGACTAGTCTTCTAGTTGTAAGATTTACGGAGGGAGGGACCCTCAGGGCGACTGTGGAAAAGTGAGCGTGGGCTCAGAACAGTAATATTTGCCTCTCCTCGATTGCAAGATTGCAAACTGAGCTTTGGTTCGTGTTCAGAACCTCACCATTTGACACAGTCATTGGAATTACCTGAAGTGAGTACCTTTCTCATTTTTGTGACCTCATCCAAATTTCTGTAGTTAGACATTTCGCTTTTGAAGAGTTTTTCGTATATTTGCCAAGGCAGAAGAAGCGGCAACCATTAATACGCCTTCGTTTACATACCTGTCTTCTAGGCTAAAAATTGCTCAAACGTCGCCGTCGTTGCGCGAAATTTACCCACTTGATGCTCCTCGCGTGTAGCGCGACAAGACTTTCCTTTTGTCGAACTTCGTTTTGAGAAACGTCTTGACTCGACGCTCGCAGAACTAACAGAATGTGCAAACTGATTTTCTTCTAGCAAGAAAATATGAACGACTTCAGTATAGTCAGAGATTTATGCCGTTAGAAAATTGCAACGAAATATTCTCGGTCAGAGGATAGAATTAACTAGTTCCGATGTTTCTCTGTCCTGTGTGCAAATATCATAAGTCCTTTCTTTGTAAATTAGTCTTATTCACGTTTATAGTTCGCCCTTGATTTGCCTCGAATGAAAGCTTTAAATCCTGAAGGGTTTAGGTGAACTGAAAAGGGCAGTTGTCACTTGAATAAAGTTTAAAAAAATATGAGTTCGAGCTAGGGACGTTTATAAACTAATTGCATGATATGTGACCGTGAAAGTTAAGACGGACACTAACGGAAAACCGTTTGAACGGCAAAAACGAACGGATGATGAACGGTTAACGAACGGTCCTTGAAGCGTTCGAACGGTTTGCCTAACCGTTCGAACGGGTGAATAATTATTTGAACGGTTTGGTCAGCCGTTCGAACGGATGAGTAAGAATTTCGAACGGATGGGCAAACCGTCCCAACGGGTGAATAAATTATTTGAGCGGTTTGCTTAGCCGTTCGAACGGATGAGTGAAACGGATAATGTCGAACGAAAATATTATTAATCCGTACGATTGGTTGTGCGATTGGTTTACCAATCGTATGCTTGAATAAATTGCTTAAACGGTTTTCGAAACCCGAAACCATTCCGAGCGCATGGCTTGATCATGGAACAGGAAATGTTGCTATGTTTTGTTTTCATTTCATCTGTCGTTGTTGTCAATTTCAAGGCCTTTATTCTCTATTTTGCGACTTAGAAATAACATTTTTGCAACTGTTTGCCTATTTAGTGCATAAAGTTTATAGTCATTGTCTGAAACTACTCATGAAAGGTGGTTGTCATCGTTAATCAGTTAATCAGTTAATCATTTGTCTCACGATTCAGTCACATAGATGTGGATCGCGACATTTTGACCGCTATACTGAGTATCTGTAGAGAAACTACGAGTGCAATTTTCTCCTTTCCAACGGATGAACAGAACGGAAGTCAAACCGTTCGAACGGACGCCACAGTTCTCCGAACGGACACTTCTAGTTGGCGAACGGATGCAAAAACCGTTGAAAATTTGAAAATTGGTCTTATTCACGTTTATAGTTCGCCCTTGATTTGCATCGAATGAAAGCTTTAAATCCTAAAGGTTTTATGTGAACTGAAAAGGGCAGTTGTCATTCGAATAAGGTTTAAAAAAATATGAGTTCGAGCTAGGGACGCTTATAGATTAACTACATGATCTTGGTGAACCTATAAGACAAACTGTTGCAGGATTTACAACATTTTGATTGAACAAATTTCGATTCAAATAGGTGCTGATTGTATTCCTCTGTTGGCTTTCATTTCGAATTTATCCTCGTCAATTTATTTGGAGTTTTGTCTTCCCCTTTGTATTCTTTGAAAAAATAAACGTTTTCTCACAACTGATCGACGTAAAATTACCTTAGGCGAAAGACCTTTATGACATTGGTACAAAACAGCGCTCCACTTAAAATACAGTAAATACGTTTGGAACTACTATTGGTAGTTCAACAAGACTTTTCCAGACCTGAATGAGACATTTTAAATAGACACATAAATGCGAAATTGTCGAAGTGGAATGAAAATGCTTTTAAAATTTGTCCTACATTGCCCTACATTGCATGTTACTTATTAACAACGGCGGCTATTGTTTTTGACATACTCGTCTGGCTAATTAAGCTTCTAGACCACATTTTGACGTCCTCTGTGATCTATTACTGAACAGACGCACGGCAACTTGGAATCTATTTATTTTATATAATAAAGAATTTTAAAAAAAATTTAATGATGACGTCATCTATACGTTTGTCCTCCAATAGATCATAAGTGAGAACCAATCAGAATGCGTGCACAACTGAGCTTATTATAAAATATTGTTTTGATCGCACGCGGCTGTTTTGATCGAACGCACAATGTCACTTGAAGGGTTTGAATAGATTATTTTTGCACTTGATGCGTCGCTTTGCTTCTCCATAATTATGATAAGCTATCTCGTATCTTTTTCGTGTATATTATTAATACGTAATCTGTAGGATTACCCTGAAGGAAAACATTTACTCGTGCTTATTTATTCCAAACTGCACTCGAAATCGTGTAATTACCAATACAACTTGTCACGCATCAAAGAGAAGAAAAGAAGCGATTGTGCTTACGTACTTACCCACCTCACCCTCTCGTAAACTCAGTTTCCTCGTCTTATGTTATCTTGTTTCCTTTCCAGGGTCCATATCAAAGTCAGCATGCCTTGTAAGTTTCTTTTATCGAAGCTCTATTAATAAATTCTTGAATGTTTTTTCCTCTAATAACGTAGAAATGTGTAATACATTTACGTATAGGTTTTGGCGTGTCATTTTCAGGGCGTAATCTCGGATATGAAGTATACAAAAAAGAGATGGGAGAGGAAATGTTCAAAAAGAAGATAGAGGAATTCGAAAAGGTAAACTTACATTTTACTTTTCGTCAGACATGCATAACTCGCTTGTAAATAGCCTGGTTTCCATAACATAAAACTAACGGAAGGACTGTGGACTGTGCTTTTCCGACGGAAATTGTTCCATCGCATAAAAATCCTTATGTTTCTATTGACGCCGCAAAATTTTCTGTTTCAGTTACTGATTTCGAGAAACCTGCTCGATTAACTTTAAGTAGTATTCAATTGCGTCCTTTTCCTATGCCACACCTTTTTTGCTTGTCCCTCCCCTCCGCATGTCCAGTAGAATAACTGCACAAGCAAATTTGTATGTCAGACTTAAACCAATTATAGCGAGCTGAATTCCTTTTGTTGTGCTGTTTCTTTGGATAGCCTCTTGCTCCACCTGGTTTTTTCTCCCAAAGCAAAATCGCATACGATACCACCAAACTCAAGTTACTCTTCGGCACGAAGGTGTTAATCAAGGGACAGCGGGGCACACATCCCATTGGAGTTGGAGCCGAGGGAATCGCAACTATTGTCTCTAATCCAAAGATTCCACCGTGCGAGTTTTTCACACCGGGACGTTCTTACCCAGTCTGCCTCCGTCATTCGACCATACAGTCCGTGGATGACGTATTGATTGACTTCTGTGGCGGGTCTATAAGATTTGCCAGAAGTGATGATATGGAAAGTCCTTGCGATATTGTTATGGGGACTGGAGAGACAACACCGTTGTGGAGCGCTCAGGCCATTTTTGATGCAGTGAAAGCCAAGATTTCAAAAGATTTGAAAACTTATTTGCTGATAGGACCTGACCAGTAAGTGAATTGTTGGGCCATTTAAACACTGATTGTGAGGCGGAGGGCTAGTGTTTTCACCTCATTCATTTATTTACTTGCTTTACTATCTGTTATTACATTCGTTTAGGGGACAAAGAACCCTAGTTTTCTTTGCCTCTTATATTTGGCTTTTTTACCGAGTTAACAGAAACTCTCAACTGGTATACGAGAGGCACCAGTGGATCCGCGTTGAAGTCTGAATAATTTTTGTTCGCTCGATTTCCAGCTTACTATTTACCGAAAGATTATAAATATCTTGCAATAATGTTATTACTTGCATTTAAGTTTAGAGTAGTTTTCAATGACTTTTGTAAAACCAAAATAATCACAATGAGGACTCAAAGTTAAAACAGGTAAACTACCAGTAGCGCGGAAAAACGCAGGCGACTAAGCTATGATTGCTTTCGTTTGTCGTCTGATTTGTAAATCAGAGATTACTTTCTTCTCTCAATTGAAAATTGCTCTCTACGTGAGGATCATTTCGTCACATTCAAAGAAACGATAAAATAACGGAGCTCTTATACGATGAACTTAACTTGTTTAGCTCTACAATCACACAGAAGTATGAAACCAGATCAAATCACACATGATATGTTGTTTAGCGAAGTGTTAAAAACTTGTAGAAAGGGTTTTAAAAAAAAGTCTTAAAAACTGTTTTACCTTATTCTAGAATTATGAGAATGTATTTACCATCTTGGATTTACTTTGTCTTAAACAGCCTAAAAGCCAACATTGGGGGCTTGCGCCAGAAGCCTGAATCATTTTACGACCAGCGTTACTACTCAGAGGTGGTTTTCGAATTCAAAGCGTTCGATGGTGTTAAGCGTTACGTCAGATTCCGTATGATGCCCGCTGATGGGCGGCCAGAAACAGGCTTATTGTCTGAGGAAGTCCAGCAGCATCCATGGTGAGGAGTAGAAACATCTGAAAATCCTAGCCTCCTTATCTTTGAACCCAATTTTAATAGAATATCTCAAACTGCAACCTTCATTTGTATCTTCCTGAGCTTCCATTAGTATCTCTTGCCTGGTTAAACCGTAGTAAAAGAAATGCATTCGTTTGATTCGTTCAGTTCTTCCCCAGCTTCAAAGTATTGCTCATTGCTTTTGGTGGGTGTGGATGGAGACAAGAAAGCATTAGGATAGTATTTTTGGATCCTCATTGTAAACAGATCCCACAAAACGTTTTCGCATATCAGAGTTAGGTCCGCCTCCTAAGTTTTAAACTGATACAAACTGACAACTGGAGATACGTGTTAGCCAGAGTTGTTGAGAATTCAATATAAACTATGCTATTATCTTATTCACGTTCTCTTGTTGCCTTCGAAATGAAGGAGGAATGGGAGATCACCCGTTTAGACGAGGTGACAATTAATTCAATGTGATAACTACCTTTATATCACTATAGGCAAAACCGAGGTTTATGGCGCGAAAAGTCCAGCTTGTCTTTCTCTCACCAATATTTGAGTGAAGTTGAATTTTATTTTGGGCTAAAAGATTCCATTCAGTGTATTTCCTGCAAATGAAATAACCTAAATTAAAAACAGGATGTAAGTTTTCAAAGTCCGGAATGAACAAACTCTGGTCCAAAAAAAGTCTATTGGATATTTTATCTCCTTACAGGATAAATGAAAGGTCACCCGATGAGACCTTACCAATGGACTATCTCAAGCGTGAGTACAGAGAGAGAATTTCCAAGGGACCACTCGACTATAAACTACAGCTGCAGCTCCATGAACCTAAGGACGGTGATGTGCCATGGATACTTCATGTCGGGAGGGAATGGGACGAGGAAACGCACCCATGGTTAGATTTGGCTGACATCAAAGTGACGTCATTACTGTCTCCAACCGCAACGGAACGTCTGAAGTTTATATATCTAAACCTTCCAGCGTCAATTGGTCTTTTGCCAGCCGTATCTGTTGATGATCCTAATGTTGTTCTTCACATTCGTAATGAAGTGTACGTCTGGTCTCAGAAGCTACGGAAAAACAGATCAAATAAGCTTGTCCCAGAGCACCTCGCGTCCTATCTTATCCGTGTGGAAACTGGATCTCAGTCTGGAGCAGGGACGGACGCCTCCATTTCTATTTCGTTGACAGGTGAAGTTACATTTAATATACATGACTTTTTTTTCTTTTTTTGCTTTACACACCAGCAATTTATTTTCTTTTATTTTTCTTTTCCTCTGCAGGTACTAAAGGAAAGACAGATCGTATGAAGTTGGATAACTGGGGCAATGACTTTGAGAGAGGAGAAGTTGACGAGTATATGGTAGAAGCGATGGATGTTGGCAAAGTTCTAATGGTGCATCTTCATAACGACCAAGGTGGCTGGTGGTACAAAAATGCTGATTGGTTCGTCAACAAAATTGCGGTGATAAGTTCCACTCAGGATGAACCATTTGAGTTTCCATGTTATCGCTGGGTGCTATCGGATTTGGTAGTATTTGAAGGAAGAGGTAATCTGAAACAAGAGAATAGAAACTGTTTACATCTTCTTGTCCGAAAGCATTGTCCCATGTTTGACCATAAAATTCAAAACTAAAGAAAAGACAAAATGTATTTCTTTTTTCTCGAGCTATAAGCATGCAGAATAAAACGATAAATTCTCTACAGTTTTTAGCATGTTCATTTTGGCCTCAAATAACATCGGAAGCGAGAGAGGATGCCAACAACATTTTTCATCACTTTTAACTACTATGATTGTAAGCCGATGAGGTAACAGCTGTAACAGGTCTCTTTGAACCTTTATTTGCAGCTATTCTTCCATTTAAAGAGCAGCCAGATGCCCTCAAAAGTCAGAGAACTCTTGAAGTGAGAAATCGCCAGGAGCTTTACAAGTGGGGAAATAAGGAAGAGTACAAGTATCTTCCTGGGTATCTTCAAGCTGAGACACACGCCGATATCCCAAGAGATTCACAGTTTTCCGACGAGGCCAGGGGTACCTTAAAGGATAACCAGCGCAAAGCGGCTGTCGACCTCGGTCTTACCTATCTGACTTCTCTTTTCGATAGCTGGGATAATTTTGATGATTTTGAGAAGATCCTTCACAGAGCGTGTGCTGGTAGCGTACCAAAGATCGTCGAGAATGACCGATGGAAGACCGACAAGGTATTCGGGTCAATGTTCTTAAACGGCGTTAATCCGAACGTTATCCGACGTTGTGAGAAGTTACCGAGTAATTTCCCAGTCACTGAAGAAATGGTGAAGACACTTTTGGATCGAGGAAAGACACTGCAAGAAGAGATGGAGGTATTTCTCTTAAATTGTCCGAAAAGTCTTAATGATAAGTAAGTATTTCACCTGTACGATATGGAAACAATTAAAATGTATTACAGTCGAACCTCGATTATCCGGACTCGTCGGGACCTCGGTAAATAGTCCGGATAATCGAAAATATGAATATTAATGATTCGTTTTAAATTAATCCTTCGCTTGTCTCGATGCTGTCAGTAAATTTTAGGATCTTGTTTTTGTTCTTACGTATGTCTGAGATCTGCTGCTTGCCGATGCCACATTCTTGAGCTAAATTTGTTCCTTTCTCTCCAAAACAACAAAACAATTGAGTCAATCAGATACCAGCTGAACGCATCAGAATATTTCTTTGTTTCGTCGCACTTTCAAATTTTGAAAAGCGCACAGGATAATACGCTGTTTCAACGATCTTTTGAAAGGATTATTGGGCTTTTTGCGAATTTGAGTTTTCAAGATCACAACTAATTTCATGTGGGACCAGGAAAAAATCGATAAGGTCCGGACGGATAATCGAGTTTCGACTGTATCTCAAAATAAAATCTGAATCCTCGAAAGTCATCAAACCAGTGACAGGGAAATGTAAACTGAATTAAATGTTAAAAGATGGAACAGATATTTATTTTTCCACCCTCCTAACAATCATTATCTCACACATTGTTCGCTTGTTTTTATAAGGCAGGTCATGTGTACATTGTTGATTACAAGGTGCTTGAAGGAATTCCTGAAAAAAAGGGAAATCACTCGGCCCAACCTTTAGGGCTGCTTTATGTCGATAATTCAGGTGACTTGGTGCCCATCGCCATTCAGTTACTACAGCAACCAGGCGACACCAATCCAATATGGACTCCAAGTGATTTACAATATGATTGGCTGTTGGCAAAGATGTGGCTTCGTTACGCTGACAATACGATTCAGCAGGTATTTCGGAGATCTCATTATCTCATTACTGAATTATTCTTGTTCATCAATCATTTCTGACCTGTAAGAATGGCTGATTTTTTTTCATTGGGAAAAATCTGACTGCCCTCCAAAGAGGGATGACTTTGATGTGGCTTTTGATAACAGTTTTTGGTCTGATGAAGAAAATAAATAAATAACAAAGAGTAGGTACTGAAATAAGATCCTACGAAAATCGAAGAGTCAGTTAAATATTTAGACTAAATATTTTAGGTTTGTCGTTTGCTCCATCAAAGCCAGACATTATTTCGATGATTGATGAAAAAAAAAGATGAGTCGTCTGAATGGCAGTATAGGTCACCTGACTAAATTGTAATTAAACCTTAACAAGAAATGAACTTCAAGAGGTTAAGTCTTTGACTAGATTAGCGAACCTCCATCTTGTCAAATTGACGGAATGACAGAAACCGTTTTTACTACAAAATACTTGTCTGATCATCTGCTAGGTTTAGAGGTGACCTTTTTCTCCCACTTTACAGAGACTCACTCATCTTCTCGAAACCCACTTGGTAATGGAAGCCTTTGCAATGGCAGTCTGGCGCCAGTTACCCTCAATTCATCCTGTATTTCAACTCTTATTCCCACACCTTCGCTCCGTGATGGCGATCAACAAGCTTATCAAAGATTCTGCTTTAGCAGAGAATGAACCTTCCAAACAATTGCTGAAGAAAAGTTACCAGACGTTCAAGATGAGCATGCTTTCCCCACCCAAAGCGCTTAAAGAGAGAGGTTTGGATGATCCAGATAAATTGCCCAAGTTTTATTACAGGTGAGTATCCCACTGACCTATTACTGAACTGACTAAGTTTACGAGTGCAATAACTGACATGTAATCAGGACTCATGGGTTTACCATATTTTGTTAGGTATGAAGCTCTGCAAAGGAGTTAGGTTATCAAGATTTGAGACATTTCATGCGACCTAAGGGAGAAAAAAGAACTGAGACTCGGTGAAATTTAATAAATTTGGTATCTAAATAAATGCATTATTTTTTAGATTTTGACGTATGTGGGACGCTGAGATATTTCATAAGTTAATCCCAACTTTAAAGTCGAATCAGCTGAGATCCTCTTCGTTTAGTTAAACGCACAGTTTCGACAAAGGAACCGCTGGAGTGTTGCAAATTTGTTGTAAAAGTGTTAGAATCTCTTTTCTAGGGGAGTGTACTTCAGACTGGTTGATACACAACTTTTAGTCATTACTTTCGTGATGTTTTTGGCTTTGACATTCACATTAGAGAAAAGAGTTATTTGTAGGTGGTGATTATTTGACTTAGATTTGTTGGAGATTTGCATAATGTGACGAGCCGTTGCTTCCCGATAAAAGATATTAAATTTTCTTTTTCTAGGGATGATGCGCTCCTTTTATGGTCAGCCCTCACAACTTTCGTCAGAGACATCATCACCCTTTACTACAAGTCAGATGATGATGTTACTAAGGACGTGGAGCTTCAAGCATGGATTAAAGATTTACATGACAACGGCCTCCCTGTGAGAGAGGGTGACGAGGACCATGAGGTTCTGAGTGCCTTGCAAACACGTGACCAACTTATCGACCTACTCACAAGCGTGGTCTTCACGTGCTCGTGTCAGCATGCAGCGGTAAACTTTGGTCTTTTGGATGTGTCAGGCTTTATTCCCTTCACTCCCTCCGTGATGCGTAAGCCACCTCCTACTAAGAAAAACCAGACGTCTCTAAAGACCATTCTTGACACACTGCCAAGCAAGAGTGAGTCCCTTAAACAAGTAGCGTTACTTTACGTGTTGACGCGATATGCCGAGGATGAGGTAAGCTTTACACAAGGATTGCCTCATGAATTTTAGCCTGTATCTTAGTCTATTAGACTATTTAGTACGACTACCGCTAAAAAATGTAGATAATTCGGTCAAGACTCCAGTTTAAAAACCTAGCTGTCGTAAGTGAAATGGCTCCTCTCTTACTTGGGTTTTGCAAAGGTCCTCGAATGTGATAAGGTTCCCTTCCCTTCTTTCCTGCGTCTTTTTCAATGTGCATTAAAACTTTCCATTCCAGAACAACTAACAGAATCAACAGTGTGTGTTCCCGAAATAACTAGCCGTTTTCAATAGAATTAGCGTTTGAAAAGATACAGAGAACTCTTTTCTGTTTCGGAACCAATGATTGTTTCCCCTTGCAAGAGGTTCCATTGTGTCGAATTCACAAAGGTGAAAACATCAACGTGTTGAAGTGCAAATTTGCTTCAAGTGTACTAAGAACAACATCTTTTCCTACTATAGCGTTTTATTGGCGACATTACACACAGCCTTTTGACTGGTGACGAGGAAGATGCTGCAATGAGTCGCTTCCAGACCGTTTTACAAGAAATCTCGGATTCCATCAAGGCCCGCAATGAGTCTTTGGAATTGCCTTACACCTTTCTGTTGCCCGAACGAATTCCCGATAGTATTGGCGTCTAAGGCGCTGACAATATTTGAGGATTTTTTTCTTAAAAATATCACACAGCGATTTTTGTGTCGTTCAGCACGTGTCGTGCTGCAGAATGTTTGACTTTTTCGTAATGCACACCTTAAAACCATAACTTAGCTCTCCTTAAAGGTGGAGAGGGTTTGTAGCAGTAAAAGAATATCTTTGGTATGGCAGAGACAATCAGCTTATTATTCGTTCAATTTTGTAGTGTAGTTCTGTGCGTGATCTCAGAATAGAAGTTGTTTTGTAAAACTAAAACAGTCACATTTTGTAAGGTTCCTCTTTTGAGAGGAGCGTTAGAAGTAGTAGTTGTCTTCTATTACAATCGCCATGTCCCAGTCATCCATCATTCAAATTTTTCAGGTAACTTGTTTTTTACCATTTAACTTTCATCAGTGAACAAGACAGAATTTCTCCTTGCAATGTCAGTACAATATCAAATGAGGAGAATAAAGAAAAATTTCAGTTAGGAGATTATAAGTTGATCAGAACCAAATTCTTCAAACTAACAACTAACACAAGAACTGTACAGGAGACAGTAAGGAGAATAACTAATGAGATCTTGGGAGTTAAAGGGTTAACCTCAAGTTAATTTCAAGTTTTATCCTGGTTTGAGCTCTTTTTCCCAAGACAGAGGTCTTTATTTTAAGGTATAGTGCAGTGGGAATTTATGAAAGGAAGTTATGGCGGTGGCATTTGTGAAGACCTAAATCAGCTCGTGACTTTCCAAATTTAATCCACCGTAATCTGCCTTATGTAAGACAATCAGCTATGTTACAGCTATTTTCAATGGATTACTCAGAGATGTGAATTATTGGAAAATTCTCGCGTCTGTTTGCTTCGGTGTAATCTTTCGATATAATATTTGTGTATTTTAATACACATATATTAGATCGAAATATAAAGTTTAAAACTTTGTATCCGTTGTTTGTTGTTATCATTAAGTTTCCCCTCTAGGTAATGTAAGTTTGATTTCTCGGCCTCTTAAACTCTATTCAGAAAATCCACGACTTATCCTCGAGTCTTAATATAACCTAGTCCTGACTCTATCTGGAGGGTGGTTGTTAATCATAGACGACGCTCGCTGTTTATTTGGGTCATCTAAAGGAAGTCGAAAACGGAAGCACGGCGTTTAATTATTTTTACAAAAATGAGACCTATGAAATGAAAGGTAAATGCGTGGGTAGGAAATGGAGTGACAAAGTGGTAAATTCTCATAATGCTTGCACTTTAGTTTGACATTCTCCTTCGTTTTGGATGCATTTGGCTTTACATAAACTTGATAACAAACCTTTTCAAGAGAAAAAAATTGCTTCTGTGTGAAAATGTACAATGTCGTTTTAATCATTTGATGACACATTTACTTAGGAAAATCAACAGGATCATTGACATTTGCGAAATTTGTTTTTATATTCTATTTGAATTGTATATTATTTCCTCGTTCCGGCACGCTGTTCAGTTTTCGCATTTCTTTTCCTTTCCTGTGGTGATCATATTTAAGATTGCTGGGGTCGAAAATGATCCATTTTCATTTCCTTTCTGTAAGGGCAAAAATAACAATGCAAGGTTAGGGAAAAATGAATGAGATCAAATGCATAGAAAAGTAATTGACTGAGGAGTTAGATTTCAAGCAAAGTATCCAAGTGCAATATACAGCATTCGAGAAGGCTAAGGAAAGGGGAAAACCTCTCTTCCTATGTCGGCATGCATGGAATTCTCAGGCGTGTGAAGAGAATCCCGTGTGATATCCCCTGTAAATCAGCAACTTTGATAATGAAAGCTTCAACTTTATTGCTGCGCGCTAATTAGTTTGGTTCGGGCATTGCGCCGAATTTAAACTCGGAAGTCTCTGACTTTCTCCCTCCCTTCCTAGGTTTCTTCACCTTCCCAGGTTCCCTCTGATCATGAGAACGATTGTGCAGGATTTTAAGTGAGTTATACAAGTTAAACGCTAGTGTTCTTACTGTTCGTACTATGAAATACTGCCTATTCCAGTCTAACAAAATAAATGTTACTAGCAAGTCTATGATTTGTTAAAAACCCATCCTTTCTCGTACGGGAAACACAAAAAACTGAAGCATTTTTGGTAAACTT